TCTTGAAACCAAACCTAAATCAATCTTAAGATATTTAGGTTCTAGGTTGGGTAAGTAGTTTGGGTAAATTTTTCAGTTTTTTCATTTTTTTCGATTATTTCGAATATTTGTTAATTCATCTATTTGTGTTGTGTTCATGTAGTAGCTAGTAATAACCAATTTTTGCATATTATTTAAACTTTTACAATGTCTTTTTGTTATTTTTTTTTTGCTGTTTCGAGTATTTTTGGCTAACAATTAACTGAATCAAACTCGAATTCTTTTTGATTTTTTATCAGTTTGACTATTCGAATCAAAATTTAAAATTATCGAACATTATCTAAACTTCTAGTATCGAAATACCAAAACCCAATATACATGACCTCAATTTGAATTGAATATCTGAATACCCATGCCTAATAAAGTCATTCTTCCTCATAATGTGAGTAGGGATGTGTAGGGGTCGGAATTCTCCCCTATTAGATCGATAAAACGACGATATCAACTCTGCAGCATCCTAACAAAATCGGATCAAGTCTGCAAGGGTCCAGTCTGAATTTAGGCCCAAAATGACATTAAACCCATAATCAAAATGGGCTTAATGAAATTATGGGCCTAAGTTAGATATATTGCTTAATGGGCCAGATTCATTTTATTAGTTGGCCCATTTACTTAACACTATATATATCTCATTGTACTCACCCAAAAAATGGTTCTGAACTTCTAGCAGAGAAACTCTCTTGTAATCAAAGCTTAACAGAAACAGCAATAAAGAAATCATTTTCTCAGTATTTGTTCCTAAGTGAGTCCGCGACATATAAATCTCTAATCTCCAAAACACCCTTGACAAATTTAACTGTGCAGGTCCGACTCCTACAGGATATCAAAATTGGTCAATACCCATGGATTACCCAAATCCGCCCATATTTTTGACGGGTTAGGGTTAGATTTGTTTACCCATATAAATAAATGGGTTTTGATGGGTTACCCCTAACATGTAAACCATTAGTTTCATGGGTAACCCACATGTTTAT